GAGATTCAAACCCAGGTCAGCCGTGTGTAAGGCAAGCACTCTACCCACTTGGACTATCACTCTGGCCCCGTGCACGCAGTTTAAGAACCTGTATGTGTGCTGTGGCCAGGAGAGGAGTGCCTGGCAGGCCCAAGTGTCCTCGTAGCTGTGGCCACGTCTGTCTTCTCCCATGTCGCAGATACAGAGCAGCAGTATCTACAAGAAAGGGACCCGGGGACCAAAGAGAGTGTTTCTCCTCCCCCATCCCACCCCCTTTGCGCTAGCATCTGTGCATGGTGGGGGGGGGTGGGAGGGGGCTCCAGGGTTTGCAGCGAGCATGTGGTCTGACTTGGTGTGAGGTGAGTGTCCCACCCATGGGGCCGCTGGCCTGATGGCCTAGACAGCATAGACGCTGTGGGAGCTCATGTCTTTTGTTTCCCACTTAGATTGATGAGATGCCGGAGGCCGCAGTGAAGTCAACCGCTAACAAGTACCAAGTCTTTTTCTTTGGGACCCATGAAACGTGAGTGAGGAGCCCGGGTGGGGCTGGGCAGGGCGGAGCACTGTGGCAGGGAGAGCCGGGGTGGGGGACTGTCGTGAGGGGCTGGAGAGCAAGGGCCTCCCATCTCTTGGCCAGGGCGTTCCTGGGCCCCAAAGACCTCTTCCCGTATGAGGAATCCAAGGAGAAGTTCGGCAAGCCCAACAAGAGGAAAGGGTTCAGCGAGGGTCTGTGGGAAATCGAGAACAACCCGACGGTCAAGGCTTCCGGCTACCAGGTGAGCTGCCAGCTGCCCCCAGAGAGCCCCTGGAAGCAGGGGTGCCCTGGGCTCCACGAGCCCCCACACCCCCACACACATAGCTCGTCTTTGGGAATGGGCTGTGCCAGGCCAGCATTGGTCAGAGGAGGCACTGGGGGGGCTAGGTAGGTGGACGATGGGGTGAGGGGGGTGTGCAGAGCAGGATGGCAGCGGTAAGTGGGGAGTAGTTGGGCTGGGCCGCGGGAGGCACGCGCGGGCCTTGACTCCTTCCCACAGAGGCTCCCAGGGGAAGTGCTTGTGCGCTGGGCAGGACGGGGCGGGGGGAGGGGCGGCGGGCAGCGCGGGACAGGGTCCCAGCTCCCCCTGGGAGAAGTTGACCCGAGGTTTTGCCTCCTGCTCCAGCCCTCCCCCGTCCTGCACAGAGCCCTGCCTGCCCGGCCAGTGGGTTTCCCCGGGGGCTAACCCGACAGAGGTGGGTCTCCTGAGACTGGGCACGGGCGGGGGTGGGGGCAGGAGGGTGAAGGAAGGAGCGAAGGGCTGTGGGGGGTGAGCCGTGGGGGACCCCCCCCCCACGGGTGCCACTCAGCCACGCCTCTCCACCACAGTCCTCCCAGAAAAAGCGCCTGGTGACGCAGCCCGAGCCCGAACCCGAGGCCCAGGAGGGGGATGGCGACAAGAAGGGCAATGCGGAGGGCAGCAGTGACGAGGAGGGGAAGCTGGTCATCGATGAGCCCACCAAGGAGAAGAACGAGAAGGGGGCGCTGAAGCGGAGAGTGGGGGACCTGCTGGAGGTGAGTGCCGCCTGCCCGCCCAGGGCCCGGGGCGTTCAGCTGGCGGGAGGCCTGGGCGACATGGGGGGTGTGCTCAATCGCTGTTTGCTGCTGCCTAGGACTCCCCCAAACGTCCCAAGGAGGCAGCCGAGCCAGAAGGGGAGAAGGAGGTGGGCGCGGTGGAGGTGGAGAGGCCAGTCCCCTCCGAGCCGGAGAAGAACAGCACAGCTGCCACCGAGCCTGGCTCTGGCCGGGGCCCTTCTCAGGAGGATGAGGAGGACGACGAGGAGGACGACGACGACGAGGAGGTGGGGGCGACGACCAAGGAAGAGGCCGAGGCCCCCGGCATGAGAGATCATGAGAGGTGAGCGGAGGCCGGCCACCGAGGAGAGGAGGAGGGCCTGCAGGGGGACTCGGCCAGACCAGGGCCGCGCCATTAACCCTTCTCCCCTCCACTCCTCCCCCGCAGCCTGTAGCCACCAATGTTTCAAGAGGAGCCCCCGCCCCGTTCCTGCTGCTGTCTGGGTGCTACTGGGGAAACTGGCCATGGCCTGCAAACTGGGAAACCCCTTCCCCCCTCCCCCAACTCGCTTCCCTCTTCCACTCACTGTCCCTGCTCTAAGCCCAGCCCCCGGAGATTGTTCAGGAAGGGGCAGGCCACCTGGACCCCACCTCTGTGTCTCCACACCTCTGTGCTCTGTCTGGGTCCAAGCCATGTCTTCTGCTCCTGGGGTGACAGGAGGCCTTTTGTCCTTTCCCTCCAGAGCCATCTGCCAGGGTCTTCCTGGTACCAGTGGTTCTGCCTCTGGGCTAGGGCACCCCTTGCCCTTTCCCCCAAGTATTCAGAACCTCTCAGTTGATGGGGAGGGGGGTTCCAAGTTGAGAGGAAGGGGTAGAGGCGAGAGAGGTGCTCTTCAGACTGGGGCAGGGTGATGTCTGGAGCTCCTGTCCAGTCCCCCTATACCAGTTGGCCCTGCTGCCTGGATTCAGGGGTAACCGGACAGCTTTGGGGAGCTGGGGGGCTCCCTGATGATTGACGATTGGCAATATCCATTCTCCTGTTTTGTGGGTCCCAGAGTTTCTGGGAGTTGTAATTGATTATCAAAAGATTCCAGGGGATTCCAAACTGCTTGAGCTTTGGATCCTGGTCAGGACACTTGGCTGCACCCACCTTGGGTGGGGAGTGTGGAAAAGCATCTGTCCTCCTCTAAATCTCAGGCCAGAGGGGGGCACCCTGCTCGGGGAGACCCCTGGCCCCCCTGTTTCCCCTCCCTCACAGTACTCAAGGCCAGCCTACAGTCCCATATCACCCAGACATAAAGGAAAAAAAACACATTTTTTAGGAAATGTTTTTAATAAAAGAAAACTACAAAAAAGAAAAAAAAAAAGAAAGAATCCCCCCAACTCCTCTCTGTGTCCTCCCATGACGTTCTTTTTCCCCTCACTCTCGCCCCATTCCTGGGGTGTACTTGGAGGCTCCCCTTCTCCTTGGGGCTCGATGGCTTTTCCTTTTGTAGTGGGGGCTTTTGTGTTGCTTCCAGTGACATTTCCCATTCACGTCCCCCACCAGTCCCCTCAGCTTTGTCATCAGATGTGATTGTCACTCACTGAGAGGACAGGGGAAATAACGCAGACCCTCCCCCACTTTTGGCGGTTCCCGCGCCCTTCATCTCGTCTCACCCCTGTTCCCTCCCCTTGGGCTCTGATGAAAAATTGCTGACTGTAGCTTTGGAAGTGTAGCTCTGAAAACTGTAGACGATTTCAGTTCTAGGGAAATAAAAACCTGTTGATTACTACCTTGGATGCTGACTGATTATTGGGGGAGGAATCACTGTCCTCCCATTGTTCATCGATTTTCTCGAGCAGGCCCAGTAACTACTCCATCGTGAGACTTGTTACTGTGTCTGGCATATCGAATACGTCACGGGGAGCTTCCCAGGCTCTGCCGTGCGGGCGAGATACTCTCGGTAGCTTGCTGGGCTCTCTGAAGGGGCGGAGGAATCGAACTCGGGTCGGCCGTGTTGGCTGCGTGCAAGGCAAATGCCCTACTGCTGTGCTATTGCTCCAGCGAGGGGGAGTGGGAGGGGGGGATATTGAAATAATTTTTAAAAATCAGCTTCTCAGGACTGGAGCACATATTTTGCATGTGGGAGGCCCTGGTTTGAGTCTTGGCATTGAATGAACCCTTGAACACTGAGCCAGGAGTAGCACCCCAGAGCACCTTGCTGAGTAGCCCCCAAACAGAATCAAGCTTTCTGTGGTGTGGGTTGCCAGCTTCTTGCATTCTCAAGCTGTAGCCAAAACCACAGGCTTTGCATGTGGGGTTTCTTGGTGCCGGTCCCAGTCCCTGAAGAACACCTGAATACAGCCAGGATTAGCCCAAGTACTGCACTGTGTGGCCTAAAAGTGTGACCAAAACAAGTACCAAAAGCCATCCACCTGAAGAAGTCACCATTCCACGGCTCAGCCACATTTTTCATTTGTTTTGGGCCCACACCCTGCAATGCTTGGGCTTAAGCCTGGCTCAGCACTCAGGGATCACTCCTGTAGGCTTGGACCTCATGGGACACTGGAGATTGACCCGGGTAGACTGTGCAAAGCAAGCACTCTGCCTTGCTGTACTGCCTCTGGCTCCTCAAGCACACACGCTCCCCCATAGCACCAGGGCAGCTTTTATTATTTTTAATTTATTTTTATCTTTGTTGGCTTTTTTGGGTCATATCCAGCCTAGCTCAGGGGTTATTCCTGGCCCTGCACTCAGGAATTATCCTGGCGGTGCTCTGGGGCCACATGGGGTGCCACATAGATCAAGCCTAGGTCAGCCGCCTGCAAGGCAAAAACTACCCTATGCTGTACTATGGCTCTGGCCCCCAGGGGAGCTTTCAAAAAAAAAAAAGGTTTGCACAAGTAAGTGTGAGACGGTGCCAGGATAAGCCATGCCACCCTGGCCATGGGAATGGACTGTGTCGAAACAATTTTGACTCAAAGGGGCAAAGCTAGGGTCCCCAGTTAACTGGCAAGGAGGGCCAGGGATGGGTTCCTCACAGTACAGACTAGGAGAGAGGAATACCTGTTAGATTCCTTCTGGACCTGACATTCGGTGGCCGCATCGAGCGGTTCCACGTGTCACCGATTCTGCAGAGGGCATGAGGCAATCTCTTAATCAGCTCTGAACCCCTCGGACAGGCAGTAGGCTGGAAGGTTGCTGCCTGAAAAGGGAGGCTAACAAGACAATCACCCAGAAAATGGAGCCACCTTGTCCTGGAACTACAACTCCCAGAGGCCTGCAGGTCGAGCAGGCGCCTCTTCGGCTTCGCCTTCAACTCCCGACATGCTCCGCGGCGTTCTCACGCTTCCTGCATTTCCGGACACTCGACTTCCGGCCGCGGCAGAGAGGCGGCCGCGTGGTTGAGCTTCCGCCCTGCGCCTGGACCACATTTCCCAGCAGGCGAGGGAGGGTTGGGGCGGGCCGGGCCGGGCGGTGGAGGCGGCGGGCTGCCCGCGGAGGTGAGGCTCGGCTCGCGTGGTCTCGGGTCTTCACGCCGGCCCTGTCTGCCTTTGTCCCAGCCGCCGCGCGCGCGTCTCCGCTGGGCTTGGCCTGCGTCGTAACTGGGAGCCGGTGGGTGCGTGCTGCGGGCGCCGGGGCCGCGGGCAGCGCCGCACTTGAAAGGGGGCTGGGGGGCGAGCTTGGGAGCTTTGCCCGGGTGCCGGAGAACGCCGCGGAAGCCCGGTTCCGGGAGGGTCAGGGAGCGGGAGAAGCTCCTGGAGCCTGGATTCGGGGTTCTCATGCCCTAGCTTCCGACCCGGAGGGGCAGAGGTTAAAGGACTTTCTTGCAGCAGGCTCGCACGAGTCTTGGGCCTTAGGTTGTCTCTAACCCCACCGCCCCACTCCATCCCGTTTGCTGCGCGAGCTGCAGGCAAGCTCCTTACACTCCCAGGGCTCCGATTCCTGCATCTGATAAAAAGAACCTACCTGTGCGTCTCCCCAACAGAGCACTTGGATAAGGGTTCGATCCTTAGCACCGCATAGGCGCCCAAGAGCATCAACCGCGTGTGGCTCAAAAAAAGGCAAAGTGTACCCCCAATCCATTAGATTTGTCACGTAGTAGCCTATGAAGCACTCGATTCAACCACCACTAGTTGAAAATAATTTCAGAGGCCTTTTCTTTCTTTATATTTAAAGTAATCTTAAAGTTTCGGAAAGGAACAATACGGGAAGAAACATGTTCTCTTCCCCAAAATGTGTTCTTGTTTTCTTCCCATAGTTTGTAGGACTATACATACTTTTAAAAATTATTTTGAAATAGTTTATTTTGTTCTGGGGCCACCCCCGTTGGTGCTGAGGGTTTACTCCTGGCTCTGCGTTCAGAGATCACTTCTGGCAGGGCTCGGGGGTCCACATGAGGTGCTAGGAATCGAACACAGGTCAGCTGTGGAATAGATGCATTTTTAATAAGTCTGTCTTTTAATATCTAAAGGATATCCACATTCTGGACTGGTTTTGTTAACATAATAAATGATCATTAAAATTACTATTAACATTTAGTTACACCAAAAACCCTTAAGATTTGGGGGATAAGAAAACAGAAGCGGGGGCTAGAGCAACAGTACAGCGGTAGGGTGTTTTACCTAGCATGCGGCTGACCCAGGTTCCATTCCCAGCATCTCATATGGTCCCCCCAGTACCACCAGGAAGAATTCCTGAGTGTAGAGCCAGGAGTAACCCCTAAGCATTGCGGGCTGTGACCCAAAAAGAAAAAAAAAAAGAAGGAAGAAAACAGAAGCTCAGAGTTAAATTATGAAGCTGGAGATGGTGGAGCTGGGACTAGAACCCACGCTTTTTATTCCTTCTCATAAATATTTGTGCCTTCAAGTTAGGGTTTCAAGACCTGTGAGATAGCACAGGGGTTAAAATGCTGGCCTTGCATGCTGCTATTCCAGGTTTAGTTCTCCTGAGTCCCATCAAGAGTACAGAGCCAGAAATAATTCCAGAGCACTGTTGGGTTTGGCTCTCCCAGAAAACCATGTTAGGGCTTCATTTTCAGCTATCAAATGAGGTTCTGTCACCAACACTCATCCTCAGGATTAAGTGAGGCAACGCAGGTTAGCACATGGCGTACAGTGGAAGGAGAGCAAGTGCTCAAGGAACCAAAGCACCTATTTTTGCCCTCACTTCCCACACCACCCCGTTGATTTTGCTTTATCACCCAAAGTTGGGAGATTAAGAGTACTTAGGAGTAGGGAAATTTCAGGAGTCTGGCTCTGGGTCTTTTTGCCTTGGAAAGAACCTTAGTAGAGAAACTTTGTGAAGGCTGCGTTGCAAGAGTAGGGATGTTATAGTTCATTTTATTCTCAGCTACCTGCCCATTTTACATTTTGGTTTTTGGGTGGCCATATCTGATATATCTGATAATGCTCAGAGGTTACTCCTGGCTCTGCACTCAGGAGTTGGCTCCTGGTGGTGTTCAGTACACCGACGATCAAACCAGATCGCCACGTGCAAGACAGTACTACCTCTCCGGCTCTTATGTTTTTTGGTGTTTGAACCACATCTAGCAGTGATCAGGGTTTAACTCTCCAGTCCCACTGTTTTATAAATACCCACCTTTGACTTTATATTTTGTTATATTGTCCTTTTTGTTGTGTTGCCTTTTTCATTTATTTTTGGGATGCTTTGGGTCACTCCCATGGTGCTCAGGCAACCATGAGTTACCAGGGACCCAATAGGGGTCCCCTGCATATAAGGCAAGCTACCCCCTGTATGATCTCCAGCCCTAGTTACAGTGCCTTTTTTCTTCCTTTATGCTCTTCGTGCATCGTATGCTAAGCTTCATGGATATTCTAGACAGCATTGTCACCTGGCCTCAATGGACTATTTGGACTTTGAAGTCCAGGTAAATGAATTTGAATGTCAAGTTTCCCAGAGAGGAGCTTTATGACCATGGGACAAGTCATAAAACTTTTTTTTTTTTTGCTAGGTCCTATTTTCTCATTTTATTTTTGGTTTTGGGACCATACCTGGCCATGCTCAGGACTTTCTCCTGGCTCTGCACTCAGAAATATTCAGGTTGTTCTCTGGGGACATACAAGATGCCGGAGAATCAAAAACATAGTTCTCTGTTTTCTCTTATTTTTTTGTTTGTGCTCAAGGCTCCTGGCACTATTAAGGGGAAAAAGCCCCTATTTTCTTAAAGATAATCTTTTAGAGCCGGAGTGATAGTACGAAGGATATGGCCTCAGACATGAAAGGATCTACTGCTGTACCAACTCCCCTACCTCAAAAGAACTTTCTAGGAAGTGGAGAGACAGGACAGTGGGTAGGGCTCGTCTTGCATGCAGCTGACTAGGTGAGATATCTGGCATCACATGCAGTCCTCTGAGCCCCAACTGGAGTGATCCCTGAGCATCACATGGTATGGCCCCAAAACAAAATTTCTAAAAGCATTTATGCACTTGCTGAAAAAACCTCATACCACTGAATCCTCCTAAAATGCTATCATTAGGAGTGGATAGAATAAAGCTTAAGGTAAGGCTTAGGGACCCTGCTCGCACATGACCAACCCATGAGATAGATCCCCCAGCACCACCAAAATAGTTTCCTTCTGTCCCACCTCCCCCAGGGCTCACTAGGAAGACTTTGGGCCTTTCCCCGGCCTAGGGTGATCTTAACTGCAGCCATGCGTCTATCTGCACTGCTGGCCTTGGCGGCCAAGGTCACTCTGCCCCCCAACTACCGCTATGGGATGAGCCGCCCAGGCTCCCTGGCAGACAAGAGGAGGAACCCTCCAGGGACCAGGCGGCGCCGAGTGGCTGTAGAACCCATCTCTGACGAAGACTGGCATCTGTTCTGTGGGGACAGGGTGAGACTCTCCGACAGGCGGCAAGGTTGGGGGCTCCTGGGCCAGGCTTTCCCTCCCTTACCTCCTCATCTTGCACCTTAGGTGGAGATTCTGGAAGGCAAGGACGCGGGAAAGCAAGGCAAAGTGGTTCAGGTCATCCGGCAGCGCAACTGGGTGGTTGTGGAGGGGCTTAACACGGTGAGTGGGGGTTGGGGGGCAGATGTGGCTGTTGGGCTGCCATTGAGAGCAGTGCCAGGTTGATGACACAGAACCTGCATTTCAACTGAGCTGTGGTCGGCATTCCCTCCCCTTTTGGACAGCACTACCGCTACGTTGGCAAGGCCCCAGGCACGCGGGGAATCATGGTACCGAGTGAAGCACCCTTGCTCCATCGCCAGGTCAAACTCGTGGATCCAGTGGACAGGCAAGCACAGGGTCTCTGGGCACTACGGGTCATTCCCCTCCCCCCACTGCTCCCCAATCTGAGTCTGTGCAGGGATTGACTTTTAGCCAGTGAAGGGGGATTGGATTGGATACTCTAGAAATCAGGTAGCGTAGCTTACAGACATGGCTTTAGGGAATTCCAAAAAGAAGAGCCAAGAGCTGAAGCACTGAGTTTGAGTTTGGGGAGTGGCAGGGTGACCTGGTCCCCAGCCTGGTTCACTTCTGTCCACTAGGAAACCCACTGAGGTGCAGTGGAAGTTCACCGAGGCAGGCGAGCGGGTCCGCGTCTCTGCCAGATCAGGCAGGATTATCCCCAAACCTGAATTTCCCAGAAGTGATGGCATTGTTCCCGAAACATGGACAGGTGAGCTGGCAAAGGATGTGAAGTGGGCTGAGGGGAGGATTGTGCATGAGGATGTCAAGCAGACTCCCACACTTCTCTGGTTCAACAGATGGCCCCAAAGACACCTCGGTAGAAGATGCCCTAGAAAAAACCTACGTGCCCAGTCTAAAGACATTGGAGGAAGAGGTGATGGAGGCCATGGGCATCCAGGAGCCCCGGAGACACAGGAAAGTCTATTGGTATTGAGCCTGGGAGAAGGGCATCTCTGCAGCCTCCTCTCCTGCAGATGTCAATAAAGAGCCAAACATCCTTCTCTACAGTTGTTGTCTTCTGTCTGTACTTTTCTCCTGGGGCCACACCCAAGGGTACACAGGAATCACTCCTGGTAGGGCTCAAACAACCTTACTGGGTCCTGAGGGTGAACCTGGGTCAGCCACAGGTAAGTGCCCTAAGCCCCCTGCTATCTCTCACAGAGAACCGTACATCGGGATGCTGGGGATAGGACTTGGCTGTACTCTCACTGAGGTTGTTGAGAGAACCTGGGTGGGAGTCAGGGTGCACTAAGTTGGTCCCTAGGCTTGGCCTGCAGGACCTGGGGTACAGACTGAAGGGAACCAAGTGCTTCTAGGAGTAGGACATGGCTGCTGCCCAGTGTGGAGGGTGGGAACTGGAGTGTCAGACCCGACTGGAACCCCTTTCTGCAGGTGCTCAGGGATGGGGTGCACATTGGCTGTTTTCTGTGTCCAGCAAGAACAGAAGGGAAAAAAACAACTCCCCTCTTTAATAAATTAAAATACTTTACATCAAAGAATACATGAAGGAGAAACGACACGGAGCTGAAGGCTGAGTGCAAGCAGTGTCCTGGCAGGCGGTGCCCACTCTGCCCACGATGGAGCCAGGCCAGTTTCATAGGTGACCGAGATGTGCCTCTTCAGACCATGTTAACTGTCTTCAGTCTCCAGAACAGAGAAGGCTTGGCCCAGTGGCCTCTTAGTGGCCACCAGAACCAGGTTTCTAGGAGAGAGTTCCGGGCTGAAGATGGGCAGGAGCTCAGCATGGAAGCCTGGGAGAAAGGCGAGCTGCTCAGGAGGGCAGAAGTGAGGCTGTCGGCTAACTCTCACCACCCCAGCCTTGCAGAAACGGGATATCCAGGGGACTAGAGAGAACTAGCCGGCTGCTGGGAACACGAGTGTCCAAGCCACTGTAAGTTCTTGGTGCCTAAGAGGAAAATTAAAACCCACCACCAGGGCTAACTGCCTTAGGATTCCAGCCCCTCTAGTCCTGGGTCTTGGTACGGCCCCTCCTCACCCTGTTCCTGAAGGTACAGCAACCGGTCCAGCAGGATGAGGGTCTCCACCAGCGGAGCCAGCAGCAGGGCCAGACTGAAGAAGGCTACCACACGGTTCTCCTGGGCCTGGTGGGCCTGAAGAGTGGCCAGACTCAGTGGCAGCTGGGGATCCAGCCCCACCCGCTGTAGCCCCCGCTGCACGTATCTGTGGGGTCAGCCACAGGCCACATTCAGTTTGGCTTTAGGAACCGTCATATCACCCCCTCGAGCTGCCCATTCCTAACTGGATGACAGCCTGGCTTGATTTGTTACTCTAAAAAATATCCTTTAGGGTGGGGGTTGGATTTGGGGGTCACATCCAGCAGTACTCAGGGGCTACTCCTGGCTCTGTGCTCAGGAGTGACCCCTGGAGCTGCTCAGGGAACCCCATGGGTGCTGAGGCTCAAACCAGGGCTGGCTGTGTGTAAGGCCAGCACCATCCTGTCCCCTCCCACCCCCCACCCCCCTGCCCCAGTCCCATCCTTTTCTCTTCAGACCCAACTCCCCATCAGTGAGCATCTTATCTGGCTGTGAGCTATCTGTCCAGTTCCATGTTGAGCTGAAAACTTATTTTCAGAATTAAGAAAGAAAAATCTTGCCTGTTGACAAGAGTGGCGACCCCCTTTTCAAAACCGCAGGAAGAAGTTACACCAGAGAACTCAATCCCCACCCCACCACCACCAGGCAGGGCCCAGGTCTCCTGTGGGTGGCTCCCTCCTCCCACCCACTGCCCACCCCTGCCTCCCGTGCCTCACTCTTCAATTTTGAGCTCGTGGACCCTGGGGATGCCCTGGACGCCAGGACGCCGGAGCTCCGGTCGGGCCTGCCGGATGGCCATCTCCAGGGCTGCCCGGTAGCAGTGGGTCCGCAGTCCGGGGCCAGCCTTCTGCAGCCGCTCGGTGTACTCCTCCAGGGCGTGGCAGGCCCCCTCCCGCAGGCGGTAGGGCAGCTCAGAGCCAGGCAAGTCCGCCACCCACTGGCTCAGCGGGTAGCCACCAGGCTCACTCAGCTTCATGTAGCAACAGCCCACGGAGGCCAGGGCCACCACGTCCCGGCAACAGCAGAAGTGCCGCAGCAACGCCACGCTCAGGTCCCCGCAGGCATGCAGGCCCGTCAGCAGCAGGCGGGCCCCGCTCGGCGGGGGATTTTCCAGCGGCTGCAGAACCTCCTCACACAGAGCCGTGGGGTCCACCCACCTGACCACATGGCGAGGACAGAGGCGAGGGCCAGTAGGGCCTGCCTGCGGAGGTAGGAAAGGACAAAGGCAGATGGCACGACAGTGAGTGGCCCCTGCACCACCTCAGGCCACAGGGAAGGGTCAGCCCTCAGTTCTGTCCAGGTCAGGAAGATGTGGGAGAGGGACAGCTGGGCCTTCAGTCAGAAGGCGGGATAAAGTCAGTCCAGACAGACCACACACCTGTCCCTCCCCTCTGAGGTGAGGAACATCTTGGCTGCCACTTCACAGGGGTGTGTGACAAACTGGTGTGAAAAGTACTCTATTTCCCTGTGGGGGAAGAGGGATCGGGAATTACCCGAGTGCTTGGGGTCTGTAAAGTATCAAGGCCTTCTGCATGCAAAGCATTCACTCTAGCCCACCGGACTATTTCCTTAGCCCTTTGAAAAGTGCTTGCATTTTTCTTTCTTTTGATTCTTCATTTTTGTTTGTCTGAGCCACCTGGCTGTTTTCAGGGCTTACTCCTGGCTCTGAGTTCAGGGATCACTCCTGGCGGGGCTCAAGGATCCCACCTGGGTCAGCTGCAAGCAAGGCAAGTGCCCTGCCCCCTGTACCCTCTCTCTCTGATGCTAAAAGCAGTTTACCTTAAAGTCGTGAGTTTGTTTTGGTGCTCATGGGGTTCTTTTTTTGCCCCTCTGGGATGGGGGAAGGGAGTGGGGGGTATTTGGGCCAGATCCAAGGGTACTGATTTTGTGTTCAGGGTCAGTCCCATATGTGGGTTGGAACAGGCAAAGCAAGCATCCTTACCAGCTGTTACTATCTCTCCTGCCTCCTGGGTATGAAGAGGCCTTTGCAAGGGGGGACCTAAGGAAGGAGCAGTGGGCAGAAGCACCACACCTGGTCGAGCTCAGGACTTGAAGGGACTCTGCCTCAGGCCCACTCTCGTTCCTGTTCCCTCCCCGGCTGCAGGAAGGGCGGGCTGGGATGGACGCCTACCTGTGGCTTCCTTCTCTCCTCTTTCTGCAGCGCCTGCAGGAGCTCCTGATCCAGGCGCTGGGCTCTCTCCACCAGTCTCTGGTCACCTTCGATGCTTTTCACCATCAGCCCCAGCCCCAGGGCCATGAAGCGGGACAGGTGGCCCTGGAATCGAGGCAGAAGGAAGAGAGAGCCTGGACTCAGCACCTTGCCACAGGTCTCAGTGGTTCCAACACCACATTTTCAGCTCTCCCAACTCCCAGGTCCCTGTCTGCTAGGCCACCTGTCTGGCAATATTTAAGCCACATGACTGAGAAAGCAAGAACAACAGGGGCTGACTATGGACCGAACATGATTGCCACTCAATGCCCCTTTTGCAGACCAGAACACCCAAAAGGAGAGAGAGAACAAAAGGGAATGCCCTGCCACAGAGGCACGGTGGGATGGGGGGATGGGGGTGGGAGGGATACTGGGATCCATGGTGGTGGAAAATGGGCACTGTTGGATGGATGGGTATTTGATCATTGTATAATCGAAACTCAAGCACAAAAATTTGTAAGTCTACAATTGTACCTCATGGTGTTTCACTAATAAAAAAAAAAAAGAACAACGGGCCACCTCACCTGGCCTGAGCCCACATCCACGATCTGTGTGCAGCCTGCCAGGTCGCTCAGTTTCTTCACTAACTGCAAGAGAACGGAAGGGAAGTTCGGTTCTCTCCACCCTCTAGTACCCTCCCTGCTCTCCACCCAGAAGATGCTTAAGGTGACCGAGGTGGCGATGGCAGAGAGAGGAGTTGGAAGTTCCAGGTGGAAAAAAGAAGTGTGTGTTGGGGTGGGGGTGGGGTGCGGGGAGGCTTCTCCTCTCAGGCCAGCAATTCAATCCTGCACAGAGGAGCCAGCTGCAAAGTCAGGGGTAGGAAATGAGGGGAACGAGGACAAGGAGAGTGATGAACTCAGTCTGCCCAACAGAGGCCGGGGTCAAAGCAGCCCAATTCCCAGTGCTGAGCCCAGACTCGAGTATGTGCGCCTCAGAAGGAACCTCCTCAGGCCTCCAGTCCCGAGACGCCAGAGACACCCCCACTGCCTCGCCCCTGGCTCTGGCCTCACCTCCCCCAGCCTCCGGATCTCATGTTGCTTCTTGGGCCTCACGTGCTTCCGGAATGGCGCCGTCAGGCGGGAGCTCTGGCTGGGGTTCTCCTGGAACTCGGACGGGGTGTGAAACCCAGGGGTCCGGGTGAAGGCCAGGGCACTGGCTGTGGCCTTCAGGGCCAGCAGGGTGAGTGGCCACACCGACCTGTACCTGAGAGAGCCCACCCAGCGCCCCCGTGAGTGGTCTGAGCACTTTTAGGTGTGCCAGCTCACAGCCTGGGGAAGCCGACTGAGCAACGGGTTTGAGGGTGCGGGGCCAAGGCCCCCAGCTCAGGGCCTCTCTTGCCCATACCTGACCAATGTCCCGTCCCCCGGCGTCCCCAACAGCAGGGTGGCGAGCTGCGGAGGGGTCAGTCCATCCAGCGCTTCCTGCCACGAGCCAGGGAGGGTGCCCCACAGGTCGTCTGTGAAAAACTCCTGCAGGGAGGAAAAGCACTGAGGCACAGCGCCTCTCTTCCTCCCTGTCACCTCAAAGCACGCACCTGCTGTGGGCAACTCCCAGCTGCTGCCCTCTGCCCCAGCCCAGTCCAAGCCTAGACTGGTCTCCCAGGCCTCTTCCTTCCAGAAGTTCCCCCTGAACTGAAGAACAGGAACAACTGTCCCTTCCTGTCTCAACCCTCACCATCATTACCCTCAGCACCCACAGGATACTGACTCAGAGCATCAGCCGATTATGTTTAATCATCTTCCAT